CTCCTCCTCTTCCCCAGAGGTCTCCTCTTCTTCCATCTCCTCTTGTCCCTCCTCTTCCACATCACAGGCCCCTTCTTCTTCTTCTGCCCTCACATAAAAGATGTCTTCCTTGTGGGTCTCTGAGTCTTCTCCTGTCACCTCAAAGGTAGGAATTCCTTTATCCTTCCACTCCGAAAACTCTTCCTCCGGAGTCTCTAAGTACTTCACTTCTGGCGCAGTGACTTTTACCTCTTTGGTGATTAAGAAATGCAAGCCATCACTTACTGTTCCTCCAGTTTCATGATTTGAATTTACTAGAGCATTACCCCCTTTTACGGGGATCCCATATCCTCCTTCTAGATTTGGTTCTTCCTTCTGTCGGAGTACAGGATTCAGTAATTCTCCTATGACAGGTTTTTGGCTGGTAAATTGTCGTAAACTTTGCAGGTCTGAAAATGTCTTCATCTCATCATCACATTTAAATGCTAAATGGACCTCACACTGAAACTCAGGTTCAAAGCCATTTTCTCTCAAAATGTTGAAGACGTCGCCCCACTGCTTACTGGCTTCCAAGGTGGCTGATGCCAGAGGATCTGCAGCCAGGGTGAGCATGGCTCCTTCATCCATCAGAGTTTCTTCTTCTCTTGATGCTTTGACAATCTTCTCTTTGTTACTGAGGATCTAGAGGTTTTCTTCTTCCATTGCTTTTACTACTCCACCCTCCCTAAGCTTTGGCTTCTCTTTGTTGGGCAGTTGTATGTTGTGACTGCCATTTCTACATGTGTCATCGTTCATATCTGAGGCTTCTGCCATCCCTCTAATGGCTTGGTAACTTTAGGGCTCATTCTGGGATAATTCCTTCCCTTGATTGCTAGTGGACATCTTGGCTTTGTCCCATTTACAAATCGGCTTGTCTATTTCCTCGTTTCTAAAAGATAAGTTTTATTTAGTACACTCAGCGAATTTAGAATTTTTTTCTTCTTGTTCCCTCAACTGTGTTTTCGGTGAAGCTAAATCTTTCGATTCCTGCCACTCTTCCCTGCTACCACAGTGCTTTGTATCTTTTGTTTCAGATATCTCACTTTTTACTAGCATTTCCTTTAGGTCATTTTTCAGGGTTTCCCTCATCTCGAAAAACATCACATCCTGCATTTGTAACAAGACCTTAAATTTCTCCACAACAGTTGTTGATATATAATCTTTGTACTTGAAATCTAACATCCAAGGTATCTCCTTATCAGTTCCTATTATCTGCTTTCTTTTGACATAGGTGAATTGTTCCTGTTCCTTTGCAAATCTAGACATTTTTGAGTGTACAGTTGACAGGGTGTCTATATTGCCCAGATCGTATTGTTTTCACTTTTGAAGAGTAATTTTAGTTCTTGCACACTGGCTAGGCTCCAGAAATCTAAAATCCTTAAAAAAAACTCTCATCCTCTTGCGTGCCTCTGCCAGGAACAGACCAGTTTCACAGAGCACAATGTGGTCTACAAGATGTGTGCAGCAGTCTCTACCTGGGAGGAGATCGCTACCTCAGCGCTGTGCAGTGAACAAAGGTCCAGCGTGATCTTTCCAGAGGGAATATGATAGGCAGAATCCTAACATGGCCCCCAGGATGCTGGGCCCTTGGTGTACACACACGTCCTCTCTGCTCTTGAGTGCTAATAAAACACAATCTAGGTACTGCTGCGACCCTTCGATTGTAGAAGCATAAATTAAGGTCACAAATCAGCTGACCTCAAAATAGACCTGTAACAACCCAAATGTTCAAGATGGATGAATGTGGGTAAAAATAAAGTGTGGTATAATATACAATAGAATATTATTCAGTCTTAAAAAGGAAGGAAAGTCTGGTGCATACTACACAATGGATGAATCTTAAAACATGCAAAGTGAAACAGGTAAAACCAAAAAAGACAAACATGTTGGGCATTGTGGCACAAGCCTATAACAACAGCTACTCAGAAGGCTGAGGCAGGACAGTTTTAAATGTTATTCAAGGCCAGCACTTGCAACTCAGCAAGATCTCATTTCAAAATAAAATTTTAAAAAGGGCTGAGGATGCAGCTCAGTGGTAGAGGACTTGTCTAGCATGCATAAAGCCCTGGGTTCAATTCCCAGCACTGCAAAAAAATAAAAAATAAAGACAAATACTGTGTGAATCCAACTAAAACAGACAAGTTCGTAAAAACAGAAAACAGACTGGCAGTCACCAGGGGCAAGATGAGGAAACCCAGAATAGGGAGCTACTGTTTAATAAGTACAGACTTTCTATTTGGGCTAATGCAAAGCTCTGAGAAGGAAGGGAAGACTGAGAGACCTAATCTCATCAGTCATTTAAACTTAAGTCTGGAAGTCAGAAATGGGAAGGGAGGGGGCCGCTCACCGCTGGCTTCAGAAGTAGGAGTGGCCACACAGCAAGGCCTGAAAGGCCTCTAGGAGCTGACAGCAACCAGCCTCTACATAACAACCAGAGGAAAACAGAAGTCTCAATCCTACTATCCCTCAAATCAGGATTTTCCAGCAAACTGAAGGAGCATGGAAGTGGATTCTTCTTTAGTGTAGCCTCCAAGTGAGAACACAGCCGGCTGATGCCTTGATTTGGTCTGAGAGACATTGAACAAAGAGAGTGAGTCATGCAGTGCCCAGACTTCTGACCTACAGAACTGTGAACTAGTAAGTAGTGTAGTTTGAAGGTGCTAAACCTGTGATATGCAGTGACAGAACACTAACAACGCATGATCTGACAATAATTCAAAAAATTTATGTCCTTTAACCCAATAGACTCACCTCCAAAATCTATCAGAAATACAGCATTTTATGCACAAAGCAGCTTATTTTATGTTATCTATATCACATATATCTTATACAATGGAATATTCCAGAAGCATTTTTAATGCTTTAATGACACACACAAAAAAATGCATCAGCCAAAACTGCAGAGTATCATAACTCACCATATTAGGGGAAATTATTTTAAAAAATAAAAAACCTCCACCATCCCAGAACCACCTAACTGATTTTCCCCATCCTTACCCCAGAAAAAAAACAAGCTACCACTTTATTTGTAGGAGCACATTAAGAGGATTATGCTAGGCTGTCTCAAAGGGGAATGGACAGAGGTAAGTGTTTGACCAGAGAAAAGGTGCTCCGTGGGGACAGAAGTCTACCCCCACCCCCACCCCATCGCTCCCAGATTCTCACCACCACCACTACCACCCACTCCCTCTATGCCCCCCACCTCCACCCCCATCCTCACCACACTCAGCGCACCAGATGGGGAAGGGCTGAGAAATGCTTCTTTGATCCCACTGCATGAAAGGGGAACCTGGCTGGGTCTAGTAGTGTACACCTATAATCCCAGTGACTTGGGAGACTGAGGAAGGAGGATTGTAAATTTGAGGCCAGCCTCAGCAATTTAGCGAGACTCTAAGCAACTTAGTGAGACCTTGTCTCAAAATTTAAAAATTAAATTTAAAAAATTTTAAAATAAAAGGGGCTGGGAGTGTTGCTCAGTGGTTAAGCATGCCCCCGGTACCAAAGAAAGAAAGAGATCCTGCGCAGTAACTTTCCTACCAGCCTATAGAAGACTAGTTTGCTGCAGTTTACATTAGGTTATAAAAATAAATAAAAGTAGTATTTTACACCTGATTACAGACTAAAATTTAAATTGCCTACTTGTAAATATATTCTTAAGAAAAACACGAAAAGTATATCAAAGTGTTTAAGATACGTTCCCAGAAACATTAATTAATTTAATTATTCCACACTGTATCCATAAATCATAATATCATTTTATACCCCACTAATATACAGAATTATCGATTGTCAATTTATAATACAATTTATTTTTTTTAATTTTTAAAGGTAGTTGTTATTACAGGTTTTTAATTTTATTTTTCTACACGAGTCTATATTTTTATATTATTTACATATACATATTATCTTATAATTTTAAAATATTTTTCAAAGACATTCTAGGTCTCTTCTCTCTCTACTCACATTGGCCACTGCCTAGGGCTTGGTCTACAGCAACAATTTCCAAACTGTCCTTTTACTATCCCCTTTCTTTTTCTGTTCTAATGCTAAACCTTCTAAACACAGAGTTCTAATTATATCAATTCATTGCCCCCCAAAACAAACAAACAACAACAACAACAGCAACAACAAAACTCTGTTGGCTTTTTACTTTGACTGAAATCAAATGGAAGCTCCTCATCTCAAACCCTTCCAGACACTTTGAGAACCTTTCAGTTCTGCCCCTCCATTCTTTACCTGATCAATTCCTTATCTTTTGATATTTAGTTCAGACTCTTCTAAGGTTTTCATGGACCATCTCTGCTGACACCCAGCATGAGTTAGTAGTCTCTTCTGTGCTTCCACAATATCCAGGACTTTTCCTTACATAGCACTTACGATCTACAATATTGTCTATTTCCTGATACGTCTCCTCCATTAGGTTGCAATTTCCTTGAGTGTGAATTTATTAGTTCAATGCTTAGCACATGGTGTGCAGCAGTGTCTGCTAGTACAAGGCAATGAAGTTTATGGGACACAAAAACCTGAACGTGAATATTCATAGAAGGATTATTCCTGAGACCCCAAAAGTAGAAATAAAGTAAATGTCCAAGAATTAACAAACGGGCATATGAAGTGTGGTATATCCAAACAATGGATCTGACTTATGAAAAGGAAGAACGTTCTGATCCACCCTACAACATAGATAGACCTTGGAAACAACTAAGTAAAAGAAGTCCATCACAATGACTATGTATTATATGAGTCCATTAAAATGAAACTCAGGAAAATCTACAAAGACATAAAGTAGATTAATGGTTGTTGCCTAGGGCTGGGGTGCCAGCGGATTAGAAAGTAATGGCTAAAGGGTACAGGGTTTCACATTGGGGTGATGAATATGTTCTAAAAACGACTGTGATGATGGTTGCAAACTCAGTGAATAAACTAAAACCCATAGAACTGTACATTTGAAACAGATGAACTGTATGTGAATGATAGCTCAAAACAGCTGTTACCAAAAAAACTCACACTTTAACATTTTCATCTTTTAAAAAATAACAGATACTTACTTTATTTTTTTAATTTTTAAAAAATTATTTATTTTTTTAATGTGGTGCTGATTATCAAACCCAGTGCCTCACATGTGCTAGGCAAGTGCACTACCACTGAGCTACACCCCAGCCCACAGATACTTACTTTATAATAGTCAAGTGACATGAACTTAGAGATAGATTGCATTACAAAATCCATTTTTGCACTTACAGTTAAATTTTGGCACAAACACAAATGGTTCTGTTGGAAAGTCGATCTCTCTGGGAAGAATTCATCACACAGTTTCCTAGGCGTATCTTTCTACCCTGATCCAATGCAAAAGAACGCCTCTCCATAGAGAACTTGTTATCTCTAGAATAAAATCTAGCGTTTGTCTATTTGAAGGGACTAGGAAACAAATCAACTCTTCCTCTTTTAAACCCAACTGAGGGGCTGGGGTTTCGGCTAAGGGATAGAGCATTCGCCTAGCATGTGGGAGGCCCTGGGTTCAATCCTTAGCACCACATATAAATAAATAAAGTAAAGATATTGTGTCCACCTATAACTAATATATATATATTATAATATATATATAATATATTATAATATATATATATTAATTGTAGGTAGACACACACAAACACACACACACACACATAAAACAGCTGAATAAAAAAGAGCCATTTAAATTAAAAAAAAAAAAAAAAGGGAAAAAAAGCACTTAGCCAGTTCATCCTTCCAAACTATGCAACTGGTTATACATCCAATCAATGCAAATCACAGCTGGGTCAGTTCCCCTAGTATCAGTTTGTCACAGGCCTCAGCAAAGACTCTAATGTAGGCATTTATCAGTTCTCCTACACCACAGCTGACACTCACTGATATAAAAAGGATCAGACCATTTCAAATGACAAGATCCAATCTCTATGTAAATTAGAGAGACAGACACTGCTGCCAAACTGCTTTTGAGCCATCCTTGTCTAATGCTTACTACAAACTGCCTAACCAAAGATCTGGTTCACACATTCCACAAGAGACTCGATGCTTGGGAAACCTCCCCCTTTAAAATGGGAACATCCTCATCTCCTCACAAACCAAAATGGCACACACTGGGTATCAGGAGATGAAACGCTTCATCTTTATGAGGCTCAGGCTCCTCATCTGTAAATAAGAGAGGAGATGAGATGTCTTCTAAAGTCTCATCTCCTTAAGTCTATTTTATCAGGCTACATCTATTGCCTCCTTAGATCTGTTTTTTAATATAATAATAATAACATGTATCAATCAAGCACTTAATATATGCTGAGCACTGTGCTAACTGCTTGGCATTGATGTTTCTCATAGCCACTCTGCACAGCAGTGTGGAGAAGGAGCAGGCACAGCAGGCCTGAGGGTGCTGTCCTTGCAAAGGCCTGCTTGCAGGGCAGCTGCTGGCTAAAGTCTGAGAACCTGATCCTGAATTACGGAAGTGTTCACACCAATCCCTAACTGATAAAAGTGGCTCTCTATGCCTAAACTGTAGGTACAAGCCCACGGAGCACCTGCTTTCCTTCTGGGAGTCTGGAATCTTGGTATATGCTAAACAGCGGTGCCTGTATTACCAGGCCCCCCCAAAACACCTTGGATACTGAGTTTCTAATGAACCTCCCCAGTAGGCATCATTTCCTGTGTGTTGCTACAGCTGGATGCTGGGGGAATCAAGCATGTCCTGTGTGACTCCACTGTGAGGACTATGGGAAGTTCATGCCTGGTCTTCTCCAGTCCTTACCCTATGAGGTTTTTCCTTTAATTTTTACTTTGTATCCTTTCTCTATAATAAGTCATAACTGCAAATCCAAGTGTGAATCCTCCTGGAGGTGGTCTGGGGAACCCCTGTCACAGGCAGGGACTATATTACCCTTGTTTTGTGGATGAAGAAACTGAAGCTTAAGAAATAAGTTAGCCACAATCCCATGGCAGACAGGTGACACTACCTGAGCCCTAACCGAGCACTCTAGATCCAAATCCTTAAACTCTACACTATGCTATGCTCCTCCCTCCCATCATGACTGCATCATCATGGTGCTTTCTAGAAAAGAAGAAATTCGCAGCATTCACATTTTTTTAAATATTTTTTTTTCATCGTAGATGGACACAATATCTTTATTTTTATGTAGTGCTGAGAATCAAACCCAGCACCACATAAAAATAAAAACATGAGGCCATGTATGCTAGGCAAGTGCTCCACCACTGAGCTACAACCCCAGCCCAGCATTTGCATCTTAATAGTCACTTTAACCAAGAATATACCTACTATGTTCCTCCATCGCTACATAGTTTTCAAATAAAATTTTAAGTAAAACCAGGAAACCAAGGATCAAAGCGGGTTTTTTTTTAAATTGTTGTTTTTGTTGTTGTGTCATGAACTGTTTTAGCTTTTTCCTTTTATTTTCCTGATTTGCCAGGTGTGTTGGTGCACACCTATAATTCCAGCAATTGGGAAGCTGAGGCAGGAGGATCACACTCATACTTAGTAACTTAGCAAGACCTGCCTCAAAATAAAAAAGACTGGCATGTAGATCAGTGGTGAACTACCCTTGAGTTCAATTCTCAATACAAAAAAAAATTATAAATTTAAATGATAGAGGCGGGGATTGTGGTTCAGCAGTAGAGCACTCACCTAGCATGTGTGAGGCCCTGGGTTCGATCCTCAGCACCACATAAAAATGAATGAATAAATAAAACAAAGGTATTATGTCCATCTACAACTAAAAAAATAAATATTTAAAAAATTTTTTAACTGATAAATAAAATCATAAAAATTACACAAATTTATGGAGTGTCATGTGATAATTTAATGATTGGTTTGTTTTTTAGTGATACTAGCAATTGAACCCAGGGACTCTTACATGCTGGGCAAACATTCATCTCTGAGCTACATACCCATTCCTTAATTTTTTTATTTTGAGACAAGTTCTCCTTAAGTTGCCCAGGCTGGCCTTGAACTGTCCTACTCCTGTGTCAGATTCCCAGGAGGCTGGGATTACAGGCATATGTCACTGCACCTGTCCTAATGACATTTTAAAATCTTTCTCCTTAAAAACTTTTTATGTAATATATCATACACACACACACACACACACACACACACACACACACACACATAGTATTCTGATACCATGTACAGAATAATATGGGCTGGGGATACAGCTCAGTGAAAAGTGCATGCTTAGCACACATAAGGTCCTGGCTTTGATCCCAAGCACACACCAAAAAAAAAAAAAAAAGATGTACTCTCTATTTGGCTAACAGAATAGACCCTTCTGGTTATTTTTAATGCCTGAATGCTGTGTTTCCCAGAATATATTTCTCCCTAAGATCCTTTAGAGTTCATGACTGCATTAAATTTTGGATAATTTTCTTGCTTTTCTCAATAGATTTACTATACACATACATAATATTTTGTTTTACTGTGACTGTTTTTGATCATTATACAAATGGAATTCTATGCTGTGAATTCTTTTGTGACTTGCTTCCCTCCACCCCCCACCCCCGCCCCCGAAACATACACACATTGATTCTGAAGTTCAACCAGGTGGATAGGTTGTAGTTTACTTGTTTTGCTCTGAGGTAATATTCCATTGTACGACCGTGCCACAACTGATCTATCTCACTGTCATTAAACATCTGGGTTGTTTCCAGTTTTTTAAATTATAGATGATAATACTGTGAAGATGGTATTTGCATATGAGTAGAATTGTTGGGTTCTCAGATGAGCATATTCTTCAACCTCACCAGAAAATGTCAAGCTGTTTCTCAAAGTGGTTAAATTGTATACTTCTAGAAGTAGTGATTAATGAGTTGGTCCATACCTTCATCAGCACTCAATATTATCTGACATTTAAATTTTTCATCCTTCCAACAAATATTTATTGATAAATCTACTGTATGCCAGGCACTATGGATCCAGCAGTGAACAAAACAAACTTTTTGCCCATATCAGTCTTGTTGTCCATTAATTTTTTACCTATCTAGTACATATGATCTGTAATTTTGGAGGTTAATTTGTATTTTTCTGATGACTGATGAAAGTGAATACATTTTCATGTTTAATTGGAAATCCATGTTTCTTCTATGAAATACCTGCTTATGTCTTGTGTACTTCTTAAGTTGAGCTATCGCTTTCTTAAAGATTAAGAAAAGTATGAAATTTTTTCTTGATTTTAATCCTGTATTGGTTACATATGCTTTATGTAAAAAACAAAGCTTTTCATTGTCTTTATGCAATTTAACTTATGGATTGTGTTTCTGCATCCTCCTTAGAAGAATATCTATACCCAATGTTCATAAACATATCCTCTAATATTTTTTCTTAATTTTTCCTGCTTCCTCAAAATTGAAAATGAATCATCTCAGCAGAAAATATCCCTGATGATTAGTGACTTGTTAGTTTCTGTACAACTCATCCAGGAAGATAAAAACTGTTTTTTGCTCTAATAAAAAAACAAATCATTACTGGGCATTACTGGGTGCAGTGCCATCTTTAAGTTTGGGATTGTCCTCTGAAAAATGTAAAGTTATAATTTTCAAAAATTATTTTTAAGCCAGGCACAAGGATGCCTATGTGTAATCCCAGCAACCCTAGAAGCTAAGGCAGGAGGGATCAAAACACCAGGTCAGTCTGGTCAACTTAATGATACCCTGTCTCAAACAAGAGAAAAGACAGGGCTGAAGATGTAGCTCAAAGGCAGAATTGCTCCTGGGTTCAACTCCCAGTACTGGGAAAAAAAATTCATTATAAGAATGCCTCAGAAAGACTAGACTACAATATAGAGAAATAAAAATGGTTGCTGAAAAATGGTGAAAACTACCAGGCTTCGTAGTGCACACCTGGTGGCCCACACCTGTAATCCCAGCAATTTGGGAGGCTGAGGCCAGAGGATCACAAGTCCAAAGCCAGTCTGGGCAACTTAACAAGACACAGTCTTTTTTTTTTTTAATTATCTTAAAAAATATTTTTATATGAATGGAGCTTTATTTTATTCATTTATTTATATGTAGTGTTAAGGATCGAACCCAGTGCCTCACACATGCTAGGCAAGCACTCTACAACTGAGCCACAGCCCTTTTAAGTTGTTGAAATAATTTATAAAATGGGTCCCTGTCCCTCCCAATCCAACCACAACACCATGCTAACTCACAATACAGATGTACCCTTTTAACTAAATAGAAAAATCAGAAAAACAGAAACTCCCATAAGGCAATTAAAATTATCCAATTTACTTAGTTCTCTTCCTATGACAACTGCTGTTCATGTTTAATTATTTGCTTCTACTTCATAGCATTCTAATATATATGTCAGCACCCTCTCTGCAGGTCTCCTGAATTACATCTCTATTAAGGAGGGGCGAGACTACCTGGGTTTCTGTGAGAATTAAAGGGTTTGCAGATTAGCATCTTCCAAATTAGCAGGCTCAGACACTCTCCATATGATTCTGCTCTGTCCTAGTCCCCAGTGGAAGCAATTAACAAGAAGGGTGACAGCAATATGGCTCTTTTTCTCTAGGAATTTGGCACCTCACTTGGGAGAGCAGGACTCACAGACATTTTGCTGATACTGCAAAGTGCTTCAAGATCCCTTAATCCAAACCCCAATAATGGTCAAATTCTCCATGGGGGCTGCTTATCAGCCGGCATTGCAGAACAGAATGGTGGGTGGCTCCTCCATGCATTAATCTTTATGGCAAAAGACAGATAAATTTTTAGAAAGAAAACACACTACCCACTTACTGTAATCCAGATATATCTCAATGTAAACTAACATAGAGTCTGGCACAGCGGGCAACTAATAGGCACTCCATAAACCAATCCTTGTTGAATAAATGAGTGAAAACAATTCTGGCAGACAGAAGGTATCCAATAAATACTGAATAAGCGGAAAGAATCACCAAGAGTGGCTCTTAGTACTAGGGAAGGGGGTCATGATACTTATGGAGGTAGTTCAGGTTCTGAGCTACTTACTATGAGGAAAAATGATATAATAAGCGGAACAAGAGCCCTGTGGTTAGAGCCTGGGTCCAAATTTCAATGACAACTGCCATATTTTGCGAAGCCTTAGCCAAATAGGCATCAGCTCTCCTTTTTGGAATAAAGGGATGACACATATATAGATAAATCACTTAGCACAAGACTTGGCATATAGAAGGCACGTTATAGAATAGTAGTAAAACTCCTCAATAAGTGCTGACGTCTCTTGAGGCTTGCCATGTGCCTGTCACTCTGCCACACTTTCTAAAGGTGCAACCCATAAAATCCTCACGCCCACCCTGTGAGGTAAATATGATGATCCCTTCTACAGGTAAGAAAACTGTCGGTGCAACGGATAATGACCACGTAAAGACTGTGTAAAGATTCGTGAACCCGAGCAATACGTGTAATGTGTACACTTCTGTCCACTACACGCTATTTTTCATTACTAGAGCATGCACTTTACAAGCAGTATTTCATCGAATCCACCCCAAAATACTGTGAGGCAGAGCTAAGTCTGCGCAGCTGAGGCTCAGAGAAGTTCTGCAACTTGGCCGAAGTCACCGAGAGAGGCCCTGGACCAGGGAAGCGGACCCTCCTAGCAAACCACCCTGCGCGTGGGAAGCCTCCCACTCACTCGCGCGCAATCTCAGCCTCAGTGTCCCAAGGCAGTCCCCACTCGCCCGAAGCCCGCGGGGAGTCCCGTCAGTGCCCATCCCAACCGCCCTCAACGGTCATCAACTCTCCCCTCGCCCGCTCGAGTGTGACAGCTCCAGAGCACCCCGCAGCCCATCTCCCCCGACAGGGCCAGGGGTCTTCGCAGGTGCAGCAGTGTGGGGGAAGGGAACCCAGGAGGGCGCATGCCCAGACGGCTCCACCAGCTCACCTGGGAATCGCGGAACTCCACCACCACATTCTCGCTGCTCCATCGAGCTGCCATCTCCCTCTCCCAGCCACGGTGGACGCAAAACAGACACCCCCACACTCTAAACCCTCTTCCCCTAAATCCCACGCTGCCTACTAGTCGGCCTGGCCACGCCCCGTTCCCCTCTTCCGCCTGACGGCAAACCATTGGCTGACCCAAACATAGGCTCCGCCCCTTCTTCCGTCTCCTCCAATTGTGGCACCAAGCTGCCCAAAATAAGCGCACCCCACTCGTTTCCGTCATCAGCTTGCGTCATCCACGCCCCCCGGCCGAGACTTAGGACACGCCCCTGCCGCGAGCCCTGCCGGGAATTGTAGTCCAAGGTCTAGCGCAGCGCGGGTAACCTAGGCAGAGGAGCTGCTTGGTTTTACTACTTTTCTCGATGGTGCTTGGGGCATTCTCCCAGATCCAGTCTACAAACCAATACCCAACATTAGTACAAACCGAAGATACCGGTTTTTTTCTGATGCCTGTCATTAAGGTTTTGAAAAGACTGAATGCGTGGTTTATTGTTTCAAAAACTACAGCAGGGTCTTCAAGACCTTTTCTGGGGGTCTCTGAAGGAAAAACAATTTTCATAGTCTTACCGCACCAGTGCACAGTGGAGTTTTTTGGAGGCTTCATGGAACAAAACTAAAGGTTTGCCATACTTTTAGCTAACATATTTAGTCTTGGAAAATAAAGTTATTATTCATTTAAAATATATTATTATGGGGAAGAATGAAGGAACTTCGGGTTGTGTAGAGGGGAGGGGCGGAGCTGTGGGGATAGGAAGGACTGTAGAATGAGAAATTCCTTATTACCCTGTGTACATGTATGATTACACTACTGGAGTGACCATGCACCATGTACAGCCAGAGGAATGAGGAGTTGTGCTCCATTTGTGTACAGTATATCTACTGTCCAATTAGAACAAATTAGAAAATAAAACTTATTGTTAGCCTCAGGAGGCTAAGACTGGAGGATCGCAAGTTGAAAGCCAGCCTCAGCAACTTAGCGAGCCCCTGTCTCAAAACAAAAAATACAAAATGGGGGCTGAGGTGGTGGCTCAGTGGCAGAGTGTTTGCCTAGCATGTGTGAGACACTGGGTTCGATTCTCAGCACCACATATAAATAAATAAAATAAAGGTCCATTGACAACTAAAAGTAAAAAAAGGGCTAGGGATGTATCTCAGTGGTTAAGTGCCCCCCCCAAAAAAATGTATTATTAATGTGAATTAATGTTGAAACATAATGATTGGCAGAAGTCGTGGCTCATGCCTGTAATCCCAGCCAATGGGCAGGGTAAGGCAGGAGGATTTCATGTTCAAGTACAGCCTCAGCGATTTACTGAGGCCCTAAGCAATTTAAGAAGAGCCTGTCTCAAAAAAACAAAAAGGGCTGGGGATGTACCTCAGTGGTACAGTGACCTTGAGTTCAATCCTCAGTACCAAAAAATAAATAAACAAATAAATAAATTTGTTCGTTTTCAGAATTAATTCCTAATGATTACTGTCAATAAATGAGCCCACATAAACGTTTTGAGGGGCCCTCATAATTTTTGAGAGTATAAAAGGATCATGAGATCAAAAAAGTTTGAGAAGCATTGTGCTAACATATATGGTAATTAAATCCTCCTCTTTGGTCCCACCTTCTCATCCTGGCTTAACTGGTTTACCCTTTGTTTCCCTACTAAAGGAAAATTACTTAACCTCATTTGTTTTTGTAAATTGCTTGGCACTCAAGTTTAAATTTTTATTATTGTTGTTGTTAGTATTACAATTGAGATTTTTGTGTGTTGGGTTTTTGTTGTTGTTGTTGTTGTTGTTGTTGTTGTTTTTGGTATTAGGAATTGAACCAAGGAGTTCTTTACCGTTGAGCTATATCTCCAGCCCCATTTTGTTGTTGTTATTTGTTTGTCTTGTGGTACTGGGGATTGAACTCAGGGGCCACTCGACCACTGAGCCACATCCCCAGTCCCATTTTGTATTTTTTTTTTTTAAATTTAGAGACAGGGTCTCATTGAGTTGTTTAGCCCCTCACTTTTGCTGAGGCTGGCTTTGAACTCACAATCCTCCTGTCTCACCCGAGCCACTGGGATTATAGACGTGTGCGTGTGCCACCACCACTGCACCCGGCTCCCCAGCCCTTTTTTATTTTGAGGCAGAATCTCACTAAATTGCTCAGGACCTCTCTAAGTTCTCCAGTTGTCCTCAAACTTGTGATCCTCTGCTTCGGCCTCTCAAGTCACTGGGATTACAGGTATATACCACTGTATCTTCCAATAGTACCATTATTTCTAAGTTCAAGTCATAGCATGAATAGAGAGAAGATGTGTCCTCCTTCCTCCTTTGAGCATTGGATATAAAGGGGAAGACAGGCTTGTCCATGGATTAGGGTGACTATTATCTCTCTCCTGTTTACCTGGGACTTTCTAGGTGTTAGCACTGTGTCCAGGCAAGAATTTTGCATTCCAGAAAACCCTTCAATAGCAGGAAAACCGGAACAGTTAGTCCCTCTAAAATAGGTACATACTTGGCAGAATGAATTGTACATTATAATAGACTTGCAAGCAATGTGTCAGGAGGGAATAACCTAAATGGGGGACTAAAATGACATCTTGAAGGTGACATTTGAGCTTTTTAGTATAGTACTAAGATTTTGACAGGGTACAGTAAAAAAAATACTTCAGCATTAAGAGTGAGAACAAAGACCTTGAAGTGTGAGGTGCAAGATGTGTTCTCCAAAATATAACACTGTTCCCCCAATTAACTCTCTCATGGCACTGTGCTGCTTCAAAATACAAACCACAATTCATTTTTTTTAAAGAGAGAGAATTTTTTAATATTTATTTTTTAGTTTTAGGCGGACACAACATCTTTATTTTATTTGTATGCGGTGCTGAGGATTGAACCCAGAACCACGAGCATGCCAGGCGAGCGCGCTACCGCTTGAGCCACATCCCCAGCCCCCAATATTTTTTATTTATTATTTTCAAGCTTCAGGAGAACAAGAACCAGGTCCGTTTTGTTGGGTCCTGCATGATGACTGCATATACAATCTGCTCCATGAATGTTTGTCTAATGAATGAATGTAAATAGCGTATAAAGTCATGACCCCAGACAGAGGTCAGAACCAACATCCATGCAATCAAAAATAATTTCAAAAGTAATTCAAAGTCGTTGCTTCTAACTGTTAACATCTAGAAGGAAATATAGACTTGGAAGTTATTCTCCTGAAAAAGTCCCTTGCTTTCTTTCGTTTTCTCACACATGGGAGCCTTTAAAAAAACAAAAAAACAAAAAAAAAAAAAAACTGCTCCTCACCAGGTATGGTGGTGCGCTCCTGTAATCCCAGTGACTGGAGATTGAGGCAGGAGGATTAAAAATTTGAGGTCAGCCTGGGCAACTTGGTGAGGTCCTAAGTAACTTAGCAAGACCCTGTCTCAAAATAAAAAATAAAAAGGAATATGGCTGAGTACTTTAGTATGCCTGGGTTCAATTTCTGGTACAAAAACAAACAAACAAACAAACAAAAAACCCACCTCCTTGAACCAGGTGTCATTGAGTCATGCCCCCATATTCACAGCACTCAGGAGACACGCTGAAATAGGCATATTGCTTGAGCTCAGGAGTCCAAGACCAACCTCCACAACACAGACCTGTCTTAGAAACAGTAAGAAACTCCTATAGTCTTGACCTCCATGTTCCTTTAATGGCTTCTCTTCCTGCCTCCCAGTATTCTCCCAGTTCTCCATCATGAAAGGCCAAAGACTGTTCTGGACATAAAAACCCTCATTCAAAGTGCCAAGAAGGGAAAAGACTGCAAGCTAGGCCCCAGGGCAGTGAGCAGGAAAAATAACTAATAATTTTCTTTGCATGCTCGGGCCAGCACATCAGAATAAATGAATTAATCAATTCATTTTGGCCCATTCCTGTAATCCCAGTTACGTGGGAGGCTAAGGCAGGATTTTACATTTGAGGCCAGTCTGGGAGACAGTGAAACCCTGTCTCAGGATGTAGCTCAGGGGTAAAGGCCCCTAGGTTCATACTTATTTACCTATTGGCTGGAAGTAGTAGGTGCTTAATAACTCTTTGCTGAATGAGTGGTTAACAAATAGGTGTGGTATGGCAAGAGGTGGTGAGGAGTATCCTGCTTAGGAGTTTGAGCCTTATTTTGGATATTAATAGAGATATTCCAAAGCTCTGTCCACATATAGCTTGATAATCTTCCCGCCAAAACCAATAGAATCACCCTTGTCTGAGCATTTCTGCAGTCCTCCTCGGTTCCCACCTCTTTTGTTCTTACTTATCTGGTTCTCAAAATCTGCTTGTCATGGGCCACAGGCACAGCAAGTACTTTGGGTTTCAAGTCTTGGTGTTCTGTTCTCTCAATGTTTTCTTTCTTAAGTGCGTAAAGAATTCTGGGGAGAGGGAGCAATAATACCTTCCCAATTGCCTCTTCCAGCCCTTCCTTTTCATCTCCCACCCACACTGTGTCCCACCCACAGTGTCATATCATGATGCTGTCATCAAAGAAGCAAAATTGAGAGCTCTCTGACTGCGTCTTCATTGCCATGAGCCTCTAAGATTCATAGGTGAATATTCTGAATCAGAGAATGGGTATCACTGGAAGTCCCTTTTCACCAAATTATGTCTTTTCAGAAGGTCACTCACTAGCCAGGTCACAGGAAGACAGGGTACCTAGCAAACTCAGAAATCCAAGGCCCTGGCTGGTTCTTATCAGTAGCTAGCCATGCAATTTGAACACAATCCTGTGTTTTCTCTTCTGAAGAATGAGGAATTGTTACTGTTAGGGGTTGGAAGAGGCATCTCCAGAGACAGAAGAGACTGCTACTCAGATCTTCTAGGCTCTTGACACATCACAGAAAATAATTTAAGGGCACATCAGGTTTTAGCAGGGAGAGGAATAACTTTATTAGAAAGTGAAAGGTAGATAAACACATTCTTAGAGCTGAATACAGATCATCCTGAGAGCCAGGCAAGCTCCCCGCTCTGGGGTCCTAGGCTCTTCTTTTCAAGGAAACTTTGCAAGAGATGGACATGGGAAGGTTTGAGGGAACATACCAGTCTTGTGAACTCAGTTCTTTGATCATGGATCACGAAATGTTTATGGTGGTCTGCTCTTC